GAGTGGGCTCTGGTCCAACATGTTTGATCCGACCAGATGCCGAGCTACCCTGAATCCCCATATGTTGCTGTCCCGTCTGTGTTCCTGAAGATCCCAGTGCACTAGGGCCCCTAACACTTGACGAGGAGCCTATAGACATGAAGACGAGTTTAAATACTAGGCAACTAGGCAATGAAGAAGACATTTCAAGTTCAGATGAAATGAGGCTATTTAGAACGTTGTTCCTCCGGACAGCCGCAAACCGCTGGATTGCACGCAAGGTGGTTTCAGTCCCAAGACTAAGAATATGGCCTAAAAACGAAACTTTCAAATTACATTCTGTCAACTGAATTTTTTATGATGTTCTCATCTGCTGCTAACAAACCCATTGAGATGTCTGTTGCAACCTGCTCCAAATGTAGACGTTTCAATTTTCTTGTTAATTTGTTAATCAGCTGATCCTTGAATTTTGACCCACCTATGTTCCCATCAGATGATGTAAAACCTACAGCGGCAAGACAACTGCTTATTTGTGGAGCAGCGGCTGCATGACCGCCTCTCATAACCACTGCAGGACCACCAGCATGATCCGAACTGTTCAACAGCGACTGACGAGCAAGCTGGGATGCTTCTACCTGTTCCGGGGCTGTCGATTTAAAGTGGAAAAATACTTAATGCATTCCAAACTTAGTAATAATAAAAAAAAACTTTTAAAGGACTCAAATGCAGGAAATTAAATCGAAGTCATCGCAACCGGTCGATTATTTTTGCCAGCATATACAAATAAACAAAATCAGGGTCAAAGACTTTGTCGTAGTTGAATCTCCCGTACCTTTACTAGAGGAATTGCCCTGCGAGACGTTATGGCTAGTATTATTGCTTTAAGCTTTGAATCTTCCCAGAAACTTTAAACATACCATGACTATTATTTCCCTGATAGGCAAATACATTTTACTACACTGCTGAGAGAAGAGGGAAATTGCGTGCAGAGTTGAAAACGTGGCGACAAAACCCGATTGCTCTGACTAAGCATGCTAAAACAAGTGGTAATGCTGGTTAATGCCAAAAATATATAAAGCAGAAATGCAACCATGCATATGCAAATAGACAAAGGTTGTTGATATGTCTTAACATGATTAGTCGTTCATGTGTTAGTGCCTTAAATTTCGCTCAAAAGTACAGAGAAATTCAATTCTCTAGTTTATTCTCATGTAATTTGGTGATTTGAACAACGGTTTACAGTCCTAAGTAATATATCATAGCAAAAGTGATCCAAAAAAATGCTGACCCATTTGTCTAAAATTACTTGTGTCCCACCTTGTCGTGATCTAGCCATATCATTCAAAGGAGGGTCATCCTGAATGCCGTCTGGTACTGAGTCATCCTGCCATGCAATCTGATCACAAGTTAATGGCCCTTTTGAGAAAGTTTTAAAAACAAGTAAACAAGTCAGGATTAGCGAAAGAAGTTCAAAATTTAGTTTATGCCCTCTACCTTCTGTGTCGTTAAAAGAGAGCTTGCTTCTTTTCGCTGCATGGTTTGAAAGACTTCCATTTTCTGGACCATTCAAGCCTCCATCGGGAAATGTAGCTTCTGTGAAAAAAAAAAAAATAACAGGCTGAGTCTTAATTAAAAAGGCTCAATCTTGTCTCCAAAAACGTAAACAACGTTCGAACCTGACGACAAAGAAGTCTCTGAACCCTAACTTTAAATGTTTTTGATGGTAATTAACCATGTTTCTCGAAAGAGAACTAAGAGAATGACGAAGACAAGTGTTGTTACAGTATGTTAATTTCAAAACAAGATCACGAC